CTCCATCACTGCCGCTAGCAGTTTTGTCTGCATCATCATCTGATTCCTCGAAATCGCTGTCGCCTTCGTCGCTACCATCGTATCTGACTGGTACAGCGCTTCTTCGCTATCACTGGCCTGTTGTTCCCTTCTTTTCTTAGAATGTTGCCTACTTGTTCCAACTTTACTAGGCTCTGCCCTGTCTGTCTCAGTTTCCTTCTCATCAATCCTGCCAAAAGCATGAACAAGCTTCCCAGCTGAGTGTGAAATTTCTGAGCACATTTCATGGACAATGACTGAGAGCTTCTTTTGTTTCTGCAAAAAAAACAGGGAGAATTGAGGGGAAGCTTAGCACATCCAAACATACTATAACAAAGTTGCCTATAAAAGCAGTTCATGAATAAGAAATCCAGACTTTTTGCAGATTTAAAATGGCAATAAAATTGAAAAATTGAGTTGCCTACTCTCAAGTAAGAAATTGCCTGCACACATGGTTAGAAAAATGCCAGGGGATAAAATGACTTACTTCTTTATCATAGGAGTTGGGTAATCTTGCTGCAACAAATTTTGTGATGTGATCCATGCTTCCTAATAAGCTGTCGTCAGCACACCGGGAGAACTCAGTCTTCAACTGATGTGAGCCATCACAAAAAAAACGATGAGTACATGATGTGCATGTGCACTAAAAGTTAAACTCGATCACTACCATAAAAAGAAACATTGACAGTTACCCACCACCTCCCGTTGAATCATAAAACACATACTCCGTACATAACATAAAATGTGGGGTGCTTCTTGGAAAATTGTCTAAAGAGTTGCTTGCCAAGATGACAAGACTTGCCAGACTTAAATACATGAGTTGCCTGTTTTTTGGTTAAATGTTGTGACTTGCACTTTAGACAGAAAAGACAACTAAAAAGACATATGTGGCCTAATAAAAAAGACTTACCCGCAGTTTGCCATATTGACCCGGGCCCTTCTTATCCTTCTTCACAACTTTTGCAATTAGAGCAGAATTTCAAACCGAAACTCTTGGTGTAGAACTTGGTATAGGTTCATCCACATCCAGCGAGTCTAGGTACAAGAGCTACAAATGAAAAAGATGACATTGAAGACAGAAAACATATAAGTTTGCAAATATAACAAACAAGATGGAGGATAGTGTTGAGAATGAGAGATAATCGTTTGAGTTTAATGCACTTACTACGAGATGGAAAACACAGCAGCATACAGCATTCTTCTTGGTACGCACATCTTTAAATGCTGCCTTTAACTGATCAACAACAAACTGGCAAACATTCGTCTCTGTTATACCATTGACATCCATGACAGTAGGGAAGCTTTTTGGCGAGATGCTTAGACTTGTTGATGGTGCAAGGAAGCAGGAAAAGGCAACTGCTAACCAAACACGAAGAAAATCGTCATCGTAAGCTCCATTCATATTTACAATCATCTTGCACCATGCTGTGAGGGTTGGTGAGTTCTTGGTTGTGATATTGTAGATGCTGTAAATGGCCTTTGTGATGTCAGGACGATTCTCAAAGCAGACCTTTCTACCCCTGTTTGGCAATCCCCAAATTGGATGCACACTCGCTGCATCAACAGGAATCTTCCCCCTATCTGGTATAACAATTTGGGACATCTCAGGGTCGTAGTGCTTCATAATCCATTGGCTGAGATCTGCATCCATACTAGTTGCCGCAATATCCAACAACCCCCCAAACTCTTTATTTATGATCTCACCCTTCTGAAGAGGAACAAGTGACTGGTTTAGTTTGTACAGCCTTGCAGGCGATCCCCTATTCCTAAAACCCTAAAGAGAGAAAAGAGGAACACCAGAAAAAGTTCATTAGAAGAATCATCAACAGGATAGATTTATGTACAGATATATTGGTTAGGCAACTCAAAAAGACAATTAGTTGGCAAGGTAAAGGGCAATTAGCAAACAGTGTGCATGCAAGTTGGTGTTCATATCCTAGGCAAGAGCAGTGTAGATGTTAGGCAAGTTGGTGTTCATCTTCTAGGCAAAAAGAAAAAAAATAGCAGTGTGAAAATCAGGCAAGGTAAAGGGCAATTAGCAAACAGTGTGCATGCAAGTTGATGTTCATATCCTAGGCAAGAGCAGTGTAGATGTTAGGCAGAAAAAAGTGACTGCAAAAAGTGAGGCAACCGTGCATTACCTCGTTTCTAGCAGTCTTCTGGCGCTTTGCTTTCTTAGTGCGATGTTCAAGGTCTTTGTCGAGACATACATCTTTGTCAACTCCGGCAGCGTTATCAGCATCTGTAGATATCTCTTCATTGCTATCAATATCTGATGGCCGCGTCCCACGAGTTATAATACCTTTTGCCCCTCGTCGACGCTTGTAACCAATTATGGGTGCATTACTACGACCCTACAGGAGAGACAATGGAACAAACGAACAATAAAAAAACAGGCCATGAAAAAACATATGGAGACTGCTAACCAGTATATGCACCACATATAAAAAAAATAATTCAGAATTTTTTTCTGCCCATGTACATCTGGTTGGGAATCACTGATGATAAGATGAGAAGGCTCGTCATCAAGGTTGGTTGTAGGCGGGGCTTGCTCGATGCCCTTACTACTGCTCCCAGACATTATTTGCTGCAAAGATAATAAAACGCGCAGGCAAGTTCGCATGCATCTGCCAAGCAAAAACCATGAAAATATCACTCATGTGGCTAGCTAAAGGATGCCAATATTGGCGTTTAAATGAATGAGCTAAGCAGGCTTCCAATTACTACCCTCCCGTGATAAAATTTGACAAGCCAACTATCTATCTTCCAGTGTAACACTAGCAATCTGTATAGGTCGAAAAAAATGCTTTTAGACAACATACAATATTCACCATATGAAAAGCCCTCTCCAAAAAGATCAAAGCATAAGTGAAAACAAAGGGCAATTAGCAAACAGTGTGCATGCAAGTTCGTGTTCATATCCTAGGCAAGATGAGTGTAGATGTTAGGCAAGTTGGTGTTCATCTTCTAGGCAAAAGAAAAAAATTGCAGTGTGAAAATCAGGCAAGACAAATGGGCAATTAGCAACAGTGTGCAGGCAAGTTGGTGTTCATCTCCTAGGCAAGAGCAGTGTAGATGTTAGGCAGAAAACAAAAGCTGGTGGGGCAACACTGCGACTGCGTGCGAACTGAAAAATGTAAAACAATGGGGCACCTATGTGCTGGCAAGTTGGTGTTCATCTCCTATGCAAGAGCAGTGTATATGTCAGGCAAAAGTTGGTGTTCATAACCCATCTAATATATCTCTAACTGCCAGAACAAACTAGCATCCCCTGGCAAAAAACGCTATACATCATGTAGGGCATCGTGTAAAATAGGGACATCATCTCGTAACGCAAGTTTCTAGCCCCAGGATCTCGCACACTCTTCAAATTTCTCCCGAATCTCACACAACACCAGAGGTAAAAAGGACGAAAAATTGACCCCCTGAAAACAAGCAATCGCCCCCGGAACAGAGTAAATCAGAGAGAAGAGGTAAATCGAGCTCCTCCACCCTCCGTCATTTCTAGCGCATCTTCGCATCCACTCCCGTAGGAAAACATCCCCAATCGAACAGGGATTTGAACAGGTACTAGACAGTCGATTGGGGAACGAAATGGGGCGATAATTTACCTGCGTTTTGCAGTCGATTTTGCTCTTCCTCAAGCAATCACAGCATCGCTCCCCCTCCTTCCTACTACCTCCAGTTTGACCACCGCTCGCCTGGAGATCCCGACCGCCGACGCCGCCCCGACCTAGACGTAGCCGCCGCAACAACTGCTCCGCCCCCTGCACTGAAATGCTCCGCGGGCAAGTGGAATCAATGGGTGGAATAGAAGAGACGCGGAACGGATATTGC